AGGGCTGACACACAAAAATATTACATAATTTAATAAAAATCTAAATTGATTTACTTTTTTACTTTTACTAGTAGGAATTGACAAAGTACTAAAATATTTTTGTGGCTAATGTAAACTTTATTGGAACTACTGATGAAATTGGTATCCGATGACTATCTATTATTGTGCCATTACGACCTAAATTAACCATTCGAATGAATATCGGATAGTAAAGATATTAGAAGGCTAGATGCTGAAAATATTGACGGTACTTCGTCTTCACTTCACCAGCCGAATTGCCTAATTTTCACAAACGAGGCCAGTTTCTAAAAAATCTTCTGCTGAAAACTTTGACCATAGGATGAGTCTTTATAGAATTATAAAGAAGTTGTACTAGTCCGGGTATAGGTTGACACGTAGAAGAGTCTAAATATTCTGGCGCAGAGTAGTTTTTAAGAAAACGTAGTGCTGTTGTCAGTGTCTAACCCAAAGGGAAGAGAGTGGGCGTTTCAGGTGTGAATGCTATTTACATGCATTGTACATTACATACGTGTGTATAAACTAAACGTAAAATGAATTTCGTGTAGAATTGCGGGTACTGCGACTGATCGCTGTTATTTTTCTGAAGAACTAAATAATGTTATCCAATTCACAAACTATGACATTCTTAGTCAATCATCACATAGTGACTTTTAATGTTTTGAGGCAATTTTTATTTAATTGTTTCAAACAATTAAATAAAATGTTTTTTTTTTATTAGCTTTATTAGCTTTATTGCGATATTACTGATCTTAGAGTTCAATTTGGAAAGTTATAACTTCCTTTTGACTTTACTCCTCAGACGAGTTTGGTTCTTCATTACATTTTTACAAATTTTATGAATAATTGTTGTACCTAACTACTGATGAGTCTACTATAAATAAATAAATCTAAATTTTAATAGTATGTTTTCACTTAAGTATTATTCAAATGAAAATAAAGCCCAAAACGAGTGTGTTATGAAGCTGCTTCAGTGGTTGCAATGTACTCAACATTATCCGCAATTGCAATGTACTTAACATTAACTCAACATAACCGATACAAATCTTCGACTTCGAAAGTTTCGACTCTGACTCCAGTTCCGGTAAATTCCACTCTGTAACATCCCTAGTTTAGAGATAAGATAGTATCCACATTTAGTGTGATTCGTAATTTTATCTCTAAGAAGGTTTGTTAAGGAGTTTCATTATTTATTTATTAATTCCAATTAAAATGAGGTAGTCCACCTAGAGTACCCGTCGGAATAGCACCTGTGCTAATGGCGCCTAGCCTAGTCCACGAACATTTTAGGAAGATGCTCTTCGGGGATTTAAATTTTATTTACATTTTTGTCCACGAAGAGCACGTACGACTTAGCAGTCTGGTGCGAGAATATATTTAGTTTACAGGTTTAGTTATTAAATGAAAGATATCGATAAAAATCACTTGGCAATTGATTAGCTACACATACTTAACTTACACAAATCACAATCAGTCCCCACGTATCACTTTTATTGCAAAATCCGTGTATTGTTACCAAAAAAAATATTGTAAACGACACCCCAGTGGTGTGGTTCACTGGTGTCGTGTACAATACACGGCAAAATTAGCCTTAGAGCCAGCGCATACAAGGAAGAATGGCGGACAAAACAACGTCGTTTTGTATACTACTTTTGTACCCTTCGGCCGCCATCGAAACCAATGGTTCGTAACCAGTTGAGGAGGAGGAAACAATGACCTTTGTACGAATCCAGTTTTGGACCATGATTATTTGTTCTTTTTACGAAACCTACTAGTTACGAAGACGTATCGATGCTAGGGAGGAAATATTGTTTCTTGTTAATGAACCTAGGTATACAATCTCATGATTCATAAAATATTGACTAGTTATAATTATTTATTTGTGTCAAATGTCTAAAATTATCTGTATTTTATGTTTGTCCCATGAATGAAAAAAAAACTATAAAAAACGAAACTATTAACAATATATTCCTTGTATGTAACCGTGTTTTGATAAAAAGAAAAAAAACCTGGTCCGAAAATGGTTTCGTACAAAGATCATTTTTTCCTCCTCCTCAACTGGTTACGAAACATCGGTTTCGATGGCGGCCGAAGGGCTTTTGTATACTTACTTATAATAAGAGCGCACCGTAGTAACGATTTGTATGTACCTAATTAATTTTCATTCGATTAATTTTTATCGATATATTTCATTTAATAACGTTTTTGATGCCTTTAATTTAGGTACATATAAAAGATGATCAACAATGCGTGACAGTTCGGGAAAGAGAATCTTACACATTGACTTTTTTCTTTAATTTAGTACTAAATTGTAAACCTATTGCAAATCTAATATAATGGAATTTTCACAATCTGTTAAGTGTTTGTTTTGTAGGATATTCAGTCCATTTCGAGCCTTTAAGAGCCCACTGCTGGACATAGGCCTTTCCTTATAAAGGAGGTTCTGGCCTACTATATCACCCGAGCCTGAAGGGTTGGTACAGGGTTTATTCTAAGTTTTTTCTCTTTGCAGCGCTGTTGCCGTACATAGTTTGCTCCCTTAGTCGGCTCATATGCTACCCATGGGATGAATAAGGGTGTTATGAATCGAGGTTATATAGTGGTGTTTACAATGCAAATTCTAAATAATCTTAATTACAAAAACTTTATCAATGTAAGTTGCGGATGTGAGACTTAATCAACCCAGTGATAAGAAAATATCAAGTCAACATTTTACGATTTAAAACTACTTAAGGGAATTAAATACCTAATAATCTTTCAAATATTTATTTTAATATCATTAAAGATAACAACAAATATAGATACCTTCACCACTGTTTGCTTGCTACGACTTCATATTTTAGCACGCTTTTATTAGCTTGGTATGTATGTATGTAGGTTGGTATGTATGTAAAGGAAACTTCGAACGTGACTTTGATCCACTCCGATAACTCGATTTAAATTAAAACTTTGCACCACTTTTCAAGCAACGGTGACAATGCAATAATTTAAATATTTTGTTCATAAATCCTAATCAGGACTTTCAGAATTAGCGGCTTTTTCCATACCTAAAAATACGATATTTAAATAAAACACGCTTTTGTAGCTAAAAGCTATTTTTTTTTAATATAAAAAATACAAAATTAAAACACAAATTAAAAACAAAATATAACGTTGAGGCTTATATTACATTAAAGCTGTTAAGCATTACTTATTTTAGACAAACATAGGCATAACATAACACATAACATGTTATATGCCTACAAATTCTTGGCACATGAGTATATTATCTCAAAAATATTTCTAAAGGATCTTTTAACCGGATCAGCTATGAGATTATTTTTTTATAAATTCCTTTTGAAAAAAGTTGAACCAACTGTAAACAATACCAACTAAATGCACTACTGCAATATTTCGTATGTAAGCAAGTTTTTGTAAGTAAACAAAAATATCAACGATGTATAAAATTTTTAGGTTTACAAATATCTAAAAAATCCAAATATTCTAACTATTACATTCCGCAGTTCACCTAAAGGTATAGACCCAGAAAAAAAGCTGAATATTACAGCTAAGCTATCAAATATTATTCCTCTGCATAAGCTTATATTCTGGCACAACTTACCTATTATGAACCATAACTAAGTCGGATAAAAAACATGTAAAGTGCAAATTTAAAACTTTTTCTATGTTAATTAGAGAAAGTAACTTTTAGAACTTTATATTTGCTTTTCTATTATTTATTTGATTTTACTTTTGAAAAACATTTTAATTAAATACATAATAATAAAACAATTTAAAAAAAGTATGTAATAGTTACGAAGACAAGTGTCTTGTAGACAAAGACGCCGCTAAGCTACCCATTTTAGTGTAGTATTCAATAGCATAACATTACAATATAACCTGACTATAAGGCCAAAATAAAATTTTAGGATTATTACATAAAGTTGATTAACTTCGACTATACTATCATTTGATAGTGTTTCAAAATACCTATCTTGCCATATCAAAATATCTCAAATAAGTGAAATAGACACCAAGTGGCATGACTTTCGATTTTATTTTTAGTTTTTGGCTCATATCTCAAAATGGGGCTTTGTCAGATAACAGCATTATAGTTTGTGAACGGCGGATTTTGTAAAGTGTTACGCGGTTCTATTAATTAAATAAATGCTTTTCAGCACAGGTTTCAATTTATTAACCATGACATGATAACATATGGGGCTCGTAGATAAGGTACAACTACATCGAGTATTCTTTATTAATTACTAATATTATACTGTACTACTAATTATGTACACAAAAACATCACGCTCAAACGACGCTAACGAATATCCAAACTATACAGGCTATGTTATGTGACCGTGTCTGTCTTGCGAGTTTATAAACTGACTAAAGATTGTGAACTGGAACACACTGTTTCGACTTATTCGTTTTATGGGTTAAATTCATTGATATACAAAAAACCCATCAATGGTTAAATTACACATAATTTCTAAGTAGATTATAATATATCGGAGTGAAACATATCTGAGACATAAAATTAATAAAACTGCATAAAAAATCTTTGTTTACCGAAAAAATTACCGCAAAGATTCTAACCTAATCTACCTATCCGTGTCGAGGCGAGCGGTTCATTTTTCATTCACAATCTTTCGACGGATTACAATCTTATTAGATAAATAATTATATATGGGTATTTACAATTAGCTGATGACTTACATAATGTGGTATATCTTTTATGTTAAATTCTTTTTACTTTTACTTTTCTTTTTTTACTTTCCTTACTTTTATTTTACTCGATTAATGAGTGACTTAGGTATTATTTGTTTATGCTTCTTACTAACGTTATCCACAGGTGTGAATCTGTCGATAACATAATAAAAAGCATAAACACAAGTTCAGAAATACCTTTTTCATAAAAAGTGATATAGTGTTGAAAACTCAACCGAACTGAAGAGGTCACCAACTTTTTTTAGGGTATTCATTAAATTTCTTGGTTACAGATGTACAGAAAACGGTACATGGTACGTCAATCCGAACAACAATAAGCATTGGACTAATTATACCACTTGTGTCGATGTTGAGGATTTAAATGTAAGTAACTTACAATGTATTTGCTATTGATATTTAATCATGACAGATATACTACAAGTACATATACACGTGTAAATGTGTGCTTGCCTCTTTTTATCAAATAATTACTAATGCTACATAACGCTTGTACTACAGTTGTATTTCACATGCCAAAAGGAAGGCAACTTATATATGTCAAACTTGTTAAATCTATTAAAAACGTTATTTACCTTAGTTGCTTGTCCATAAACTAAATCCATTAATATCCTTTTGGGACATAAAATCATATGGCTTATCAATGCAATTTAGTAGTTCTTCGGTTTTAAATGAGATTAATCCTAGCACCATTGTGGAGAACATTTTGGTCTTGTAAGACAAAATTCACTCTATTTAAGACATTAACATCCACAAGCTGAATTTGAGATCTGAGAATTAAGATAACAGAAACTAATGGGTTACGTAATTATTTTTCAGTACTTAAATTATTGTGTACTTGAAAAAATGGAAACTTTCGAAGTATAATTTGATATGGCAGGTTTTTTAATGATTAAAACGATTAATCACATTTGTGTGTGATATAAGTATTTGAAATGCTAATCATTATTAGTATCGCTAATGTTATTTATGTTGATTAAGTGTACAGTTAGATGCTATCATCCCTCATTAAATGCCACCTACGACACTTAGTTATTTTTCGAAATTTAGTACTTATCACTATAATTTAAAATACCTAAGTGGGTAGCAGCACATCAATATTAGTTAGTTATTGTCATAGTCGTAGTATTGTCGTACTCCGACAAATAGCAAGCACACTCGACCTAAAACCACCGTATTATCAAATTAGTAGAAGCTTAATGGTGCGTTTTACTTTAATTGTGTACTTACTGTGTTTCAAGGTATTTCATAGTTGTATTTAAATACCTTTCTTGATTTCCTAGTCGCCCTATCGTTAGTATTATGATTCCTGTGTATTCGGCTCTGAGGCGTTCCATTTAAGGCTTGAAGTGCAAGCGAGAGCACGCAACGAGCGACAAAGAGGCACAATCGGCCTCCGCCTTCGGCAGCGTTTTGACATCTCTCTCTCTCCTACTTGAGTGAGCGATGCGTCCGCGTGGACAGCTGCTATACAATAATATTCTCTAATCAGTTTTAATATTAAATTTAGTGCCCGTAGGGCTAATGATACGAATATATTTGCCCTTCAAATATATAAAAATAACATCTCTTACTATAATCCATTAACAAGAATGGCCCGTCAATATAATGATATCTCAAAATCCAATAAATTACTAGACGTTTTTGATCCTAACTATAACAGATATACTAAATTGGTGAAAGACATCCTCCATGGTGGGCTGCGTTTGGATTAGCATTCAAATCTACATCACAATTGCTGCTTGCTTACTTTGTCATTTATTTTTTATTACTTGCAGTATTATTAATCAGAGATAATTTTTGTATAATCTTCATTGTTTTTCTTTGTGTACATTTGAGTTACGTTACGATCCAGATCTAAACGATGTATTTATGATTTATGTTTCAATTGATTGTAATGTGTTTTGTGCATTTAATAAACAAAATAAAAAAAAAAAAAACATTTACATGTTTTCGTAAAATGCAATCATTCCATCAGTATTTTCTTATGACGTTGTCACGTTCAACTATCGTCAGTAAACCGACTTTACAGACAACCGATTTTTTTAATTGCTAACCGACTCTATTTATATTTTGTTTCAGTTCCGAACTATCATAAACTCCATCTATGTCGTGGGCTACTCCATATCCGTGGCCGCCCTAGTTCTATCGATAATAATTTTCCTTTATTTCCGGTAAGAAGATTTATAAATATAATAAAGCAAAAAATATATTCATGAAAAATAGGTGATCCGGTAAGGGCTAGTGTCTATCGCAGAGTGTATCTGAGTAATACTAACAGTATTTTCATAATCATTCAATCCCCCTCTACAAACAATGGACTCTAAAAAGCCAAATAGGTTTGGTTAAGAAGGGCTTTTTTCCACAACTCCTCGTCAAAGCAACTTTTTCAGGTAGTTGAGAAGGAAAATTATTAGAGCCACTCTAACTCCAGGACCTTCTAGCCCGTGAACCATCCTAACATTATCAAAGATCACGCAGGTGTGTACTGCTCCAAGGTACCTTATCCAGTATACTGCAACTACCTGAAAGTGCATCGATACATGGTTCACTGTTTTCTCTGCCTTCATGCATGTTTTGCACATGTCCGTAACTCCAACATCAAAAAATAAACCGTATGCAACAGACGCTTTTATCACTCTCAACTGACCACAGTCTTTATGGGTCGTCGATATAATTTGTACCGGTCCGAATAATGTATGAATTTGCTCTATGGTGTTGGGCAATATGGGTTTTAGGACCTATAAGGCATATATTTTCTATCCCGTCTTAGCCAATTCAGCGCATGGCGCTGTGTGTGAGTGGGTTTCGTTTTGTAAGAAGTGTATGTGTAAAGTACGTTTGTGAATACGTGAATACGTGTTCGTTTACAACCTACATTGCCAATCAGTGCTACCTCGTATTCCCGGAAGTATCTTTCTAGTAGAATACGATTAATTACCACTGGTTTCGTGAGGGTTTCGAAAGAACGCTATCATTCGACATCGGCAACTTCATATTTTTTTTTTTATATTTAGATTTGGTCTGTTTAAGGCCTTTCTAACTTTTACCCTTTCTGCGTTGAAGTTCGTCACCACACCACAGCTGCTGTTTGCCCTTGTAGAGATACGGTCTCTGGACTGAATTATAATATACTTTGTTAAGGTCATAAAATCTTCCATGTTTTGCTTCAAAACTAAAGTATTATTATTTTTTCTTATGGTTGTGTATCTTGTGTATCTCTCTCTGTATGTATGTGTGTATAAATAAATTGAAAAACCAAAGTTCCCCAACTTAGTTTGCCGGTGACTGGGGAGTTATGGATGAGTTGAGATGTCGTTCTTATAGTTGATTTTCTACACAGCAGATTAATTTGAAAGTAATTCTGTGTCCTCAATGTTTAAGCACTGAATATTTAAACAGTTTTTATATGGTATACTGTTTAATATTAACTATGTCATTATTGTTATATTAACTTTATATATCTGATATCTGAACTACAATTATTTGCAACTAGGTCACTTCTATGCACAAGAATTCGGATCCACATACACCTCTTCAGCTCTTTTGCTATAAGCAACATTCTCTGGATTGTGTGGTATCGCACTGTTGTGGACAAGGTCGTGGTGGTACAGAATAACAGGGTAAGTGACAAAAATTTTATAGTTAAAACCTATTATAACCTAAGTAGGACTACTTTAAAAACATCTTACCTGTCAATTTCAAATCATTGGTAGAAGAAATTAAGGACTTCAAAATTAATCTGACCCTTTTTGTTCTTGTGGAAACTCCCTTAGAAAACCCGTCCACCCAACGGTGTTTTGGTTGGGGTTGTGTGTTAGAATTGAACTGAATAAAACCACACGGCATACCGTGTATATCATACAGTGGCTAAACCGGAGGTACCAGGGAACATCTTTTATTAAGGATTCAGACTCCTCCCAGCGCCTGCTCATAAATCGCAGACTCTATAAATAAACAGAAAGCTAAGCTAAGAAAGACGTTAAGATATACACTGTATATCCATAATTCAAGCTCAATAATTAAATGTTGTACCAGAAACATATCGGTCACAGTGTATATTCCAAGTTCCAGACAAGATTCAGTTCTGCTTATCAGCAAAAATGTCGCAACGACAATCGTCGTGCGTCAGGAGCTGTGCAAAGACCCACACTAAGAACCATTTAAGCTACCTTCGTAAATGTAATGTTGCAAAATCAAGCGTAATCAACATTATTTAAGTTGTAGCATCTGTTAAATAATTCTTGTTCTAACAAGTGTATTTGTTTAAAAGTTTTTAGTTTTAATTTATTTGGCGTTCTATGAATTAAAAAAAAAATAGTGACACAAAACTAAATTACCCAAAATAATAAACATCCTTTTCACAGGAATGGTGCCAATTGCTGCATATTGTGACACCATTACTTTCATGATTACGAGCTACTTATGGATGTTCTGCGAGGCCCTTCATTTACACATAGCTCTCGTAGTTGTAAGTAGTTGACACCTCCACAATTCAAATTTACAAATGCATTGTTTTTATTTTGAATGTAAGCCCTTTTTGTGATACTAAACAATTAAAATTTAGTTTGCAGGGAATATTTAAACTTTATTTTTTAACTTATAACTTCTGCATATGTTAGTTTATTTTATTAAGGGATGTTCATATTTTTTTAATATTGACTCTATAAATATTTTAATTGCATATCCAGCTATGACTGACACACTTCTAAACCAAATAATTAAAGTGTCACCGTAAAAACAGTCACGTACTAGGGAAAGTGTCATCGGACTCTACTAACACTGTGAGCATAATCTCAATATTTATTTAGGTAGATGTAACATTATCTTCGTTGCCTCATCGTGAGTTGATTGACTTGGTTTAGAGGCTTTTTCACACATGGCTATGTAGGAATGAATATTATTTTTTAACTTAAATATAAGTACATTCATTGTAGCTGTAACTGTGGGGTCTCCAACTAACAAAATATACTCCCTATAAAATCCAGGAGCACAGCAAAGATCTGTATCTCGTATAGGTTACCAAATATTTATACGTCTAAATTAATAATGTATATAAACACATAGACTTTTCAGCGAACACAGCCTAAACTTATAATATGTCATCGTTCATTTGTACCGTTAGCGTTCAGTTATGATATATTTATCCGAACCGAACGCTAACAGTACAAATGTCAACAAAAAATACTTCCGACTCTTGTACATAAAACAGTTTTGTTTTTATAAATATTGTAAATGTATACGGGGCCAAGAAGCACCTGTATCATGAAGAATATTTTTACAAATAGTAGAATTTGTCTTATCAAATAACTCTCTACTTGTAGAAAATGAAATTATAACTTTATATTTTTGAACATCCACGACTTTATTTTTATTAAAAAAAGTGTAATTGGTCCGTGCTCAATACATAATAACTCCTTTTCGCAAAACCTTGCCACCGCACACAAATGTTGGGGAAGGTTGTGATGATTGGACCACGTAACTTTAAGCTGTCATATCTAATTAAACAAAAGTGATAGAATAAACCGTGATAAAATTCTTAATATAGATACGATGGTATATTTATTTTAGGTCAAAGTTGATTAATTTTAGCAACAAAGCGATAAAATTATTTCTTTTCTTTGGACCATCATTGCATTGAATGGACAGCCCCGCTGCCATCAATGGACTTAACAACATTTGTACTAATGGTTCAATCATGGCAACTTAATTAAAAAACATAATTTTAATTACCCTTTATTAATAGTAACAATTAGGATCACCTAAATATCAATCAATTACATTTTATAACTTTAAAACAAAACATAGATATGAACGATTATATTGAGTATATATATTTATATCACCGATAATAGCAAGTACCTGGATGACCGAACTTTGCTCGGTATTTCCTTTTTGGTAAATTTTCTAAAAATGTAATCTAATTAATAGATCTACGACTAATCGCCCCCCGAAACTCCCTGCATACTACCTCATGAAAATCGTCGGTGCCGTTTCCGAGATTCAGATTATATACTCATGTATACAATAATTACTCGTTTAAAGGTATTATTAGATAAGTCTTAGGGTCAGCTAGCGTCTTTAGTTCCATTTTTGGTATTTCAGGTGACATTTCAGATAAAGGATCGATCTTAATTTGTGGTTCAATAAATAAGTATGTTGTATACGGGATATTTATCATGGCTCTTGCACCAGTGCCGAATATCAAGTTGAGGTGTCAATATTCTCACTTCGTTATTCTTCAGTGGCTATCAACTCATAGTGAGTCTTGAGTCGAACATCTTTGTTTAATGAGTAGATACCCGTTGTCGAAAAGATCACTTTCCGATACCATAATTGGAAGCTCCTCCATATTTTTCTGGTTTATTACATAAATCTGTGTTTTTAAGCTGATTTAAAAATACATCCAGACGCAATACGTTTTCTGACGTCATCCTGGAAAGAAATTAAACAAAAAGTTGTTACTATATCAAAATTACTTTGATTGAACCAGTTCATTCATAGCTTTAACTGTGGTGGCTCAATGATAGCTTCTAGTTAACTAAATGAAAAGGGCATTTTATATTTTAAAGGGCAAGAAATAGAAAAAATTCTTAACAATTTGTTAAAAAAACAGATGAATATCCTATTATTAATATAAAATATTATCATTGAATATACAAAATATTACAATACTTGAATCGCTTTTTTCGTAGCACGATTTTGACAAACGAAACGCTCGACACTGTTGCCTGGCAAACGACACGCCTAACATGCCTTAAGAAAGCACTAGCAGTGCATTGATCGCAAACCTTCCCCAAAACGTAAAAAATATAGAAAATATTTTACATATCGAAGGCCACTTTTAAAAAATCAATCTGATATTTACGGTTAAGCTAATAAAGGCAGAACTACTTCTTCTAGCTCTTATAGTACTTAACATAATCAAACATGATAGGTATCACCTATGTACTTATATTGTATTGTTATTTTAAACAGTATCAGAAGTAATAGTTTTTTTGATACCTGTCCGTACGAAGCATAATAATAACATTGCTAAGTTGTGATTCTATTCGAATCCATATTGCTGCTATTTAGCTAACATATGAGTGTTATGAATTAGTTATGTCAGGAAAGCTTTGCACAGGTGTTCGTGAAGGACGAGGTAGCCATGCGATGGTTCATAGTTCTCGGCTGGGGCATCTCACTAATCATCACTATGATTTACGCAACCGTCAGATACTTCACCCCTGGAGCTATAGAAAGGTATCTGATCAGAATGTTTTTATATTGTAGTTGTAACGCAAAGAAATGACAAAGGGTACATAAAAAAAACATTGAGATATATTTTAACTAAGGAAACCTGCATGTTTAATTGTGCTACATACGAGTAATGTGCAGAATTGTGCGCAATGTCTGAGGAATTGCAAACTCTAATAAATAAGAATCACGCCTAGTTTTCTTAATAGAACATTTTGACGCTAAGAATAAGTTTCCCTAAGAATAAGTCCCTCTGCTCCTTGAGGAAGGACATCTGACATAAAAAAAAATAAGTTGCTTAAAACTTAATATTATTATACTTCTAGGTAGGTCCCCCTATAAACTATAAACTTAACACATAATAAAACTAAATATATATATTTAAATGAAGCTATATCTTTAACCGATTAAATAGCAGGCAAAAGTATTTGTTGCTTACTGATAAAAATAGGATAATCATGTGATTTCTTGAAACAATAATATTTACGTTTGCATAGGCTTACTAAATAGATACCAAACAGATTTTTTATTTCATTCTCAAACACACATATATATATTATAAAATAATTATGCTTTCTGCGAATTTATTTCAAGTGTGTTTTGTGAAAAGTGCTTGCCAGGGCGAATGACGACATTACACTAAACTAAGCGTTGTTTAATTTCGCATGTTTTCTACTTACGTATGTTTTATTTGTTAACGAAACATCTATGTTTCGTTAAACAAACGCAATTTAATGGAAATTGTGTTTTTATTTTAGAAGTAGGAACTGCTTCTCTCTTATGTCATTTTAACGTAGAAGCGATAGTTTTGCCTGCATTTATAGTTGCCGTCTCTTGATATTTTTAAAACGGCTTAAAAAATAATTTGAGTTATTTAGTTAGACTATCATATGCGGGAACATTGGGAAACTCTTAACTTTAAGGCTTGCTACGTTCCAAATAGATAAAATTCACTTGGGTGTCACGCATCTCTAAGGGGATAAGGTTTACTCTGCTACAAATGCAAGGTCACCAAAAATAGTAGACTGTGAGTAAAGCAGCAGTGTATTTATAGGTAGAAAACCTATAGTCGGCAATGCTGTAAATAGTTCGATTCCGACATGGGCATTTCAATACACAATTATTTTGTCCTGATGTATGTGATAAAAGTAACAAGAAACGTTACTTCCATGAGAACCTACATATTTAATAACAAATACTTTTTTAAGACGAATGAAATCAAAATGCTTTGCACATATTATCTGGTATAAACATTCATCTGGAGACACACCTATCTCAATACGTCACGACATCTCTCTTTTTCTATACCCTAAATTACCTAACGGCAACTATTTGCACGCATCAAGGTTAGGCGCAGTTGCTACCAATTGTGACAGTTTAGTTAAAATCTGTACTACTGGTTCAGGGTTTTTATAAACTTTCACCAAGGTATTTACAAAGTTATTTGTCCTTTCCATCTGTTCTGTCACTTGTAGATTATTTTGTATCTTAATCAAAATTCCAATGACATTCTAGGTGTTGGATGGATCACAGCGACACAATTTGGATAATCGTCATTCCAGTCGGGATTTCATTGATGGTTTCCTTCAGTAAGTAAATTAAATTATCTCCACAACTAGGTCTGCGTAACTGTAAGAGTAAGACAACTGAAATTATTCACTTTTTTTTTCTTCTGCTTTAATTTTTTTTTCTTTATTTATACAAAAATATCAAACTTTTCTTTTTTTATTTTTTTACTTACTAGCAATATAAGCGTACAGTATACACCAAAGTGCTCATTTGGATCATTATATAACAATATATATAATATATATCATATATATATTAACTAACTTTAATATATCGTTAATGTAATCATCAATCATCAACTTTGACAAATTTTAATTAATACATAAAATTACAATTACATTAAATGTAATAATATTGATTATAACTCATTTAAATAAATCCACACATTCATAGTTCATAGAAATAACTCTTATTTTATCAAAAAATATCTGCAGCAGGATTCAATCGTAAAAGAAATCATCAATTAATTCGACAGCTTAAAAGACCCACTGTTACAGGCCAGAGAATGCCTAGTTAGTGGGCATGCAAGAAGTTGGTATTGTCTCCGTCCAGTGCCACTTACACACATATACTATGACTGCACTGATAGTCTATGTTAGCTCAATAGAGAATTAAGAATTCAATATAATTTTAATGAAACATCGCAGATTTTGTTAATTACTAAAAAACAACCAGACCAATTACCTACGAAAGCTTATCAACTACTTCATTAAGTATTCAAACCCACCCACTTTGGCTCGTTCAGCATGTTTAGCGCAGCTTGAAGACCCTAGCAGCCGCCGCGTCACCTTGCACTTATTCTATCAACTTGGCACCGACTTCAAATAGACTAGAATGTATCTATTACTATTATAATGTTACCCGTTATATTGAGGGTCGCACTTATTTTACCAGTTTTAAAGTAAGATACGTTTTGTATGAGTACATACGATGTTTAAAACACTACGTTATTTTGATGTGAATGCTTTTGGATGAACATAAGTAGCAACTACAACAAATCGAAGATTTGCCAGCACTGCGTTGCCGACTGGGACTCCGCCCTGCACGCGTCTGAAAAGTGAAGTCCTGGTCGACCAAATTAGACGAGACCTGTCCCCGCCAGTGGGGAGCAGTGGTTTCTTTCTGTGAAGCTGTAATGGTCCAGAAAGAGACTGCTGAACGGGATCGGGAGAGGGTCGATCCCGAGCGAAGAAGATGTCGGCGGCGGAATGAGCAGCTGACGGGGACCGCGGGCCGCCAGGGAGTGGGGACCTCTGGTGGCAGATTAATTACTGCGGTAGGATATAGGAGGGGAGCCTGATTTCACTATATATGTGATCGGGCCGCAATATCTGGATAGGCTGATGTGGCAGGGAGAAGCCACTGGCTTTCCCTGAGATAGGGCCTAGTTAGGTGCGGCGTCGATCTGGGGGGGACCTGAAATCGCAAGTGTGCCGTCCTTGAATTGTAAAAAAAAACACGCATCTAAGTCAGTGGAATAACAGATATGGCCATTTCGGGCTTCCCTTTAATTTCGCAGATCAATCAAGATCTTTAGAATAATCTGAAAATTCGGTAAAGAGCAACATCTTTATGCCTAAATGAACGAAAAAACCTTATGCAAACAAATTCATTTGTAATTATATTTACTTTCAATTAAACCTGACCTGACCTGTTTCGCCTTATGCCATTATCGAAGCTTTCGCATTATGGCATTTAATTATGATTATAATATTATGCTTTTGTAATACTTTGATAATCAATTTTTTTTTTACATTTTAAATATACAATATAGTATGTAATAGAATTTGAGGTACTAAAATTTCTCCATTTTCTGGGAAAATTCCTTACACTGACATACTGTTATTTCTGTTCACCTACCAGCGATATATGTTAAAACGTAATTAGTAACAGGTCAGTTATTCATCAGTTCAGTTATCATGTTAATTTAAATAGTGGAATATAAGTAGAAGTGAGTTTGTTTTCATAATTTATTTCAATAAGTGCCATCAAGTGCTGACAATTAATTATAAATTATATGAAGAATAAAACTATACATCTACAGAAATCTCATCAGGTTATTTTACTACGAAGTTGACTTCAATTGTACAGCAATTAAATAACGTTTATCTCCAGTATTCCTGATAAATGTGGTGAGGGTACTGCTCACCAAGCTCCATCCGACACCGAATCAACAAGCGTCTATGGCAGCAAAAAAAGCTGCCCGTGCTGCTCTTATACTGGTAAGTATATTGTCTTTAAGAAATCTATTGCTATTTATAAGGTTGTATGTAAAGTTGGTATATTTCTCTAGTAGGCGTTTTGCTACAGAGGATTAAGAGAGAATTTAACGTTTTCATATATTTAAAGAGGTTTTTTTAATTGTGTTATACGAGCAAAATTAACAAGAAAGGTTATCCCCAACACAAAATCTTCAATGAGTATCTACCGGCGCGGTTCGTAATTAGTGTAATATTCTAAATAATGATATCTCCTGTACTGTAATTTCAGTTGAATAATAAAGATAACCAACAAAATTTAATTTCAGGGTAAAATATTTCTAATCTATATTCGCCGAGATAAAAACTCCAATGTTGGGTCTTAGTAAGTACCTTGGGCAATTTGGGTTTTGTTTAGCTCTCGCTGGGCGCAAAAAATATTTTGCAATTAGGCTTAATAGATTACTATTCTTGCTCTGCGAAAGAAATGTAATTAGATTATGTACGAGTCGGATTGTTACTCCGTGGCGTATAATACTTAGAATATAATGAATTATCTGTCAAGCAATAAGTAAGTCTAGAATCGTAAAATGTGTATTTTTTATATATAAAGTCGACTGAACGACTAATGGTTAAAACGAAAAATTTCGAAAGGGATCACAATGTATTAAAAAAAGTAATTATTATTGTACGTATGTTTGATTTTCCTTCGAAAACAACAAGTACATGTTTTATAAGATTTGTAATGGTCAAAGTATATGCTAATTGCGATTGTCATTCAAGAAACTTGACTTTTTATTGTTTTGCCGTATGGTCGATTCGTCATTAATCACAAATTATTTAACGGAGACAAAATAACACAGTGTCTACTCAATTAATGTAGTTTTTTTATCTATCTACCATAAAGCAACTTCGTCGAATAAAAATATCGTTGTCTATCTTACACCTTCTGCAAAAAGCTCGTGTATCTTAAATAATAATGGGACCTTTCCATTGTCTCACAGATTCCCCTTTTTGGACTGCACTTCATTTTGATACCTCTAAGGCCATTACCTGAATCACCAGGAGAAAAACTGTACCAAGTGGCGTCCGCTCTACTGACGAGCTTACAGGTAGTACCTCTTTATATGACTTCCTTAAACACTCGCTTCAGGAGTAGTATTTGGTGTTCTAAAAAGTACATGTTTATGGTACGGTCCTTGTAATAAAACCTCGCGGACTGCCAATGCAATCGTCGTTTAAAAAGACTTTTTAGGTAAATTCTAAGTCTATATTACATTTACAACACACAACACTTGAAAAAATAAAGCAATCAAAATATTTGTAGAAGGTATAAATTTATAAGTTTCTTTAACAATTTTTAAAAGATTAAAATCATCTTCGTTTTGTACAATTTAAAATTACAATAACCGTTTCATATATAAATACTGTTCTGAAAGAGTAATTTATAAAATATGGAGTGACCGAATTCTACACTCTACTTCTGAAGGGTTGAAGTAAAATATTCCACAAACAACAAAACTGTTATATAAGCGGTGTACAAATCAATCCGATTTTCTAATCAGACAAAATATTTACTGACCAGACAGTCTCATTGTGTTTATTATGTTAATTCATTTATCATTTATTTATTAGTTGCCTACATTTGTTTACATTCTACCAAATTTACAAAACAATCAATATTAAATAAAGTGGAATAAATACTTATAGACAAATACAACATGCACTGTTTTGACACTTTTTCTACACAAAAGAAGAAAAACTAAAACTAACTGGTAATTTTAAATATGGGTGGTTTTTATTTAGTTATCCTTAAAACATTCGGTAAGTGTGAATCCAGCGGCGTGGCGTGGGTTAGTGGCGCCCGGGCGGCGGCAGAAATTGTTCCACCCTTACAAAATCAAAATTTTTAGCCCTACGAAAAGAGACACAATTTTATCCACAAAAAATTTGGTCTGACTTTGGGCACAATCCTTATTGACATAATTGTAACGGTTCACTAGTACATTGCGGAGGTCCTAATGTGAGCTTATTTCACATCAAGTCGCTTTTCCACGGTGAGTACTTTTGGCGTTGTGATTGGTGAAGATTTCAGTGCGGGCCAACGCAACACCGAACGCGGTCACCGTGATGATCGATTAGAAGTGAAATAAGACTAGGCTATCTGGTCCTCTTCCTCTTCTTCTCTGGCTATCTGGTGGTGGTGTTACGAAACTCATATATATCTTTAAGAACCTATGAGACGTTGCCGACGAGAATGTGCTTCGGACTACGTACCTTGCACCATGTCAATCCTTGCTGACATATTGTGTTACAGTATGGGGAGGAGCCTCAAAAACCCATATGATAAAATTAGAACGTGCACAAAGAGCAGTCCTCAAAGTTGCACATTGCATTCCTTTTTTTCATCCAACAAAAGGTACTAACGGTCCGTCAACTCTTCGTCCTCAACACTATTCTGCGCACACACTCTGAGATAATCTATCAACATACTTTACAGTCTCACAAACAATTTAAAACAAAAGTTTGCCCTAAAATATCATGTAAAAGTAGCCTCTCCCAGCGCAGCTACAGTTTCCTAGGTAATTATTTATATAACAAACTCAATTCTGTCCTTAATTTATATCCTTTAACCAGGGTTAAATGTAAGCAAGTACTTACTTCACATCTTTTAGAATACAACTACGACTCTACTGAATAATAACTAACTATCGCAAAATAAAATCTAAGCTCTTAAAGTAAAAAACGCACACACACAGACACAATCATACACACACACACACTAACGCGCATACTCATAAAAATTAAACTAATGACTATAAATGTTTTTAATTGGCAAGATGTTTATGTGTATTTTTTAGTTTTCTTTTGCCAATAACTAGACATAAGCATAATACAAACTTTGTACTATGGGGGGCCTGGCAATCTGTATGACAGGGTTCCCTAGTGCAGATGCCAGTCTCCCTCAATGGTCTTGAGCAATTACTGTAATAAGCTAGTATTAAGTAATCTTGGTGGAAGAGAAAATAAACTTTATCTTATCTTCAGTCGGTCAAGTACATGGACGTGCGAGGAATCGTACATGACTAAAGAGCGAGTCGTAATATATTCTAATTTTAAGTACCAGCATTACTTATGTATTAGTACGACTTGTCTTTCTAATCATTTATAATTCTCGTATGTCCATGTAGTTGACCGTCTGAAGAGACCAGAGGGCCGAGTGCAAGTTTATTTCACATCGACTCGCTCTCGACGGCGACCGAGTTTGGCGTTGCAATTGGTGGAAATTTCAGTGCGGGCCAATCGTAGCGCCGAACGCGGTCTCCATGACTATCGAGTAGATGTGAAATAAACTCGCATTTGGTCCTCAGCTATGCACTGGCAAAACGTAAAAATTATGTCAAGAAGGATTGGGTTCAAAAATCAGATCAAATTGTTACTATTTATTTTGACGAAATAATTGATACTTGGACAACGAGAAGAAAGTACCTACTTTGAAGTTGGAAAAAAAGTATGACACTTCATGATACCAAGTGAAAATATTTTTTCATTTATTAGGTCTTTGGTCAAAAATACATAATTTCAAACAAATAATGGAAAGATAAGCAAGTAAATATTATTCTTTTTTTACTTAGATATATTTTAGTAACAAGACTAACACAGTAATCGATATCACTGCGCGTCGTACACTGGAAAAAAGTTGGTGCCCCCCCAATTGTAATTTAAATAAAAAAAGGAGTACGGGTGGTCTTCTTTCCCGTTGTGAGCAGCTTACATACGGCTAGGGTGAATTAGCCATGATCTTCATTGATACCTCAAAAAAGTATCGATACTTTAAGTATTAAATAATCGATGCTTTTAATCATATTAGAATTAAAATATCGAAGCTTTTTCGGCACGGCAATACCCCAATGTTTTCCATTGCCAAGTACTCTCTGGTCCTTCGAGCTGTGTGAAAAATTGAGAAGTCTGAGTCAAAACTTAAGTAACGTAACTCTTCAACGTAAGTTTTACCGTTCATATTGCCATCTACAAAATCGAGCTATTCGAGCACTTCGTCTGTACTTCATAATACCTGCCCATACCATTACTGTAGAGCCACTGTAAGGTGTAATTTTTTTATCCATGAAATGTAATTTTTTTTGCTCCTGAATCCATGTCAAGTGTTCCCTACACCATACATTTCGACGGGCGCGATTCCCATGGCGAATAGGTGGACACCAAATCGGGCGTTATGTTCGTAGACCGTATTCATGCAGCCTATGTTTGGTGGATAACAACAACACCGCTTAAGAATTGTAGCAGTATAGTATATATATTTATTATAGTATATATATATAGTAGTAGTATATAGTATATATATATATATATATATGACTGATTTCTTCCCGCTGGTTTTTTCAAAAACTGTATATCTCAAAATGATAAAAGTGAGATAAATACCAAATTTATCAAGCAACTATAACCCATGGAACTGGGAAAAAATAATACTACGTATGTTACGGTACACATATCGATAATCATTGTAATTAAATAAACAATTGAATGAAAGATTTTATTGCTATAATCACTAATACTTCACGAATGCTTATTTATTATTTATAATTATACAAATATATATACATACATTACAATAGTAAAAATCGTTCAAAAGTTCAAAACCCGCTTCTTGATGTTTGTAATATTAAGAGACCGGTCAGTACTAGTCGCACTTAGTTGGTATTTATTTAATTTAAAAAATAACAAAATTAATGCTCAAGAACGTTTCATGTTAAAGTACCGCCCAGGATTGTTAATTTGTTAAGTTGCCCTAAAATGACATTTCTGTTTTTTTTTATTGGCATAAAAAAAACAGAAATGTCGTAAACAAATTAAATTATAAAAATTAGTGTTATAGATAATTTTGAAACTGTTATTATCAAAACTGATTTGACGGCAGGGGATCTGACGGAATGTCATAGAGGATTTCCACCGAAGCAGCGAACACTGACGAGGAAAAATCCCTCACGATAGCGTAAGCGGCCGCCGATACAGACCAGTGGCCGGGACTGCAAAGTGTGCTCGCTCTTTTTTGTGCTGCGGCCTACCGCAATTCTACCAGAGATTGGCAGGCAGAGGATATTTTTTAAGCGTGCTTTCAGACCGACCGACCTGGGCATTGAAGAGCTACTGCAGCGGAAGGCGCCGGCATGCGACGGCATACACCAGTATGCGCTGAAATCCGCCAAACGGAAGCCATCGCCACAATCGCCTGCCTGCAGTCTCGCCTCGGCCCCGTTCTTGGTGAATGTATTTTAACGAGGCCAAAAATTCCAATCCGTTATCACGAAACTCTCGACTGCGAGTCGCTACTGGAATGGAATCAATCACCGACGATGCACTGAGACTGAGATTTCCTTTACTAGTGTGCTTATCGTAAAGTCCTTTTCGATGCTCTTTGCGCTAAGCCTTCCTGCTACCCTGGCGCATACTGGTGGACTACAGCGCATACAAGTGAATGCCATCTGTACCGATGCCTACCACCGTGGTATTCTCTTACGCGCTCTTCAATGCCGCGTAGAGAAATCCTCTGCGATGCTCCGAGGTTGGTCTCAGAGCATTGAAATTTATACCTTATTTCAAATTGAAATGGCCAGAAACATCCATTGATTTATTTATTTATTTGGAAACTTAAAATTCTCATGCCATACTGAAATTTCGCCTGTTTGCGCAAGCCAAGCTGCAGCAGATGTGTTTTGCTAAATTGTATACTAAAAATTGACTACCATAACGCCTTATCGGTTTTCGTTTCAAAATTTTTTTTTTTTTTTTTGATAAAACACTTCTTTGTGACAATCTACTAAATATTTTAGATAAAAGTATATTAGTATTTAAAAGATGAAAATGATTCTGAAGGTATAAAAGTATTTTTATACCTTCAGAATCATTTTTCATCTTTTATCCTATCCGTAAATCTAGCTTTCATATTACAAGCCCTGCTTTGTTTGAAACTAGATGGCGTTGTGTGACAGATTTCAGAAAATATATTACGAATATATACGAGTATTAGGGGTTAAAGTATGTCGGGCACGCCGTCATCGCGGCGGGTAAGACCCGTTATTTAGGATTGGCTCGAGAGGCGTCACGGGACCCTCTCATACCGACTGACGCAGGTGATCACTGGGAAAGGATGTTTCGGGGATCACCTGTGTCTGATCCGCAAGGAGCCAACGCCTGAGTGCCACCACTGCGATGGCCAGATGGTGGACACGGCTCTCCACACGCTGGCGGAGTGCCCGGCGTGGGTTTGAGCAGAGGCGAGACCTCGTGGCGGCCATCGGAGTGGGAGTTCTCTCGCTCGAGAGCCTGATTGCGGCTAATCGTGCGGAGCGAGAGTGCGTGGAACTCTGCCGTCTCCTTCTGCGAGCAAGTTATGTTCGCGAAGGAGACGGCGGAGCGGGACCGGGAGAGGTTTAGAACTCTCCCGGCCCGCCAGGCCCGGGAACGGGCCAGGTACCGCAGGCGACTCAGGCGCCGGAGGTTGCAGAACGACCTCCGTCCTCCATAAGCGCAGGCCTAGGGGTGACAGGTGAGGCCTTCTGTCACCCTAGCAGAAGCAGGCCGGGGGTGGCGGCGAGCGCGTTGCGAAGCGCGCTCGCTTCCAGGGAGCAGAGGGAACATGGGGTTCCCACACGGAGGTGGTCGTCTACTCGTCTGTAGATGGCCCGAGGTATGTCGGGGCACCAGGGACTTCCTTTCTAGGGTATACCTGGTTCTCCGGCTATTAGTGCCCGAGGACGGCGTGCGGTTTTAGTCGGTTCGAGTCCGACATGCATAGGTGGTATCCGAGGGGATTTCCGCACGGGGAGAAAAAAAAAAAAAAAAAAAGGGGTTAAAGTATGAAATTGCCGTTGCATACTATTAGATACTTTGAATTGACATAAAACCTTCATGGTGTGAGATTTTCGGGTGAAAATTTTTTTCACCTATATGTGATACCTATGCGGTTCTTCTTTTAAGAAATATGCTACATTCGATTTTCGACTTTCAACTGTTTTTTTTTTATTCAGCTTAGACGTGAAATATCGATACTTCGAAAATCGAGTCATTTTTGAATACTAGTTCCGACGCGGAATAAATATCAACGTTGCGTTTGGGGAGAAGACTGCTAATGACAGCACCGTGCTTATTTAGATTAAACGCTTTCGTAATGGAAACTTCGACTTGAATAATGTTGAAGACGGGCGGTCATCCACGTGGTTCATATGGTTGCATTTTTCACGAATTCACTTATGTGTCTTTGTTCACTTTTCACTATACTCTCTTCAAACGATAAATTACACAAATTGTATTTAAAAACACAACACAGTTGCTTTTGAATGCTGGATGTAAACTGAGTATGGCATTAGATGGCAAGCGCGAAAGTTTTCCCTCCATAGAAGGCAAGATTCGACCGAACCAGCTGTCTTCACTATCATTAGGAGAGCTTGTTTTCCAAGCTTTTAGCTCTAAGAATCTCTTATTTAGGCTTGCATTACCCATCTCAATAAATAAATGTTACATTTTTTTAAATGTGATATACTATCAAAAGACATAAATATGAATAAAGGGGCCAAGTTCGCTACTAACAAAAGACGCCAAGCTCTGGTAAGACAAAAGAGTTGGGTATTAATAGACCGCAAGTTCACTCACACTTTTTCAAATGATAGCAATAACTCAAAATGATTACATAAATTTTTTGACGAGGTAAATTTTAATCTAAATATTTGAATAAGTAATCTGATTTAAATTTCTTATTTTTTCTATGAAGCTGATTGACATTAATAGTCATTTTATTCGACATATTATCATGCTCGTACCGTTAGCTTAGTATCCCTATGAATATAATTATATATTTTGGCTTACACTATCATACAGCGACATGTTACACACAAACCAGTAAAAAGTACCATTAAATAGGTCAGACTAGGCTAGGTAACTAATAGAGTAACATCTTTATTTTCTATGACTGGAATACGCTCACAATAGATTTATAATTAGTTATGTTCATACATGAATGGTGTTTTAAGTTTTTTTTTTTTACCCAGGGTTTGTGCGTGGCAATACTATTCTGCTTCACCAACCATGATGTGATGACGGCTACCAAGACGTACATGTCGCGATTCCGGAGAGCAAACGAGGCTATTGCTATGACTGGTAACACTTACCCCTTGACTGGGTCGGTTTAATATGCTTTAATATTACTCTGTGTTTTCGCATTCTACTTTTCTTACCATAAAATAACTAACCTTTGCGAATCACATATTTATATATATTACATAAAACCAATGATGAAGACTGTGTGAGTAGCTAGGTTAATTCAATTCTTTCAGAAAGTTATAAGAACAAGCAATTTGCAAAAGGCAAAAAGTTTTCTAAATAACGGATTAACAACATCTATTTTCTAACAATTTAAGAAAAGTAAGTACGAGGAAATTATCTTAGAACTCTTTTTAGAGAAATTGATAGATAAATAAATTAAAACCTTTGGTTGTACTATCAACATAAAAAATAATAATAATAATAAAACATTTTAACTTACACACTAACTTTACAGGACTAGAAAAAAATAGTATCAATTAAAAGCAAAATGTCTGACTGTTTTTTCTCTCATTAACAATTACTAACATATAATATTTTATCTTGTCGGATTGTGATAAAAATATGCTATTTACTTTTCAGGTGTAACCGGAGGTGAAAGTCTGATGAACACAAAAGACCACGTAGTATAAATAAAACTTTAGATGAATAGTGAACATAGTGTAAGAGACACTAAATTGTATGACAAGTTATAATTTGAAACTATATACTCAAATTTATTACTGGAGAGTTGCTCTTTTTATTATTTTTAATCTGAGATATGAGTTTCTCGATAACACCTTGCACACCAAGTGAATTAATTAACAATCTTTAAATAAGAAAGGAATATCATATGGCAGTAAGTATTAATTTCTAAAGTTAAAAACAATAAACTTGAACAGCTTCAACTGCTGTTTCATCACAAACAGTACAAGTAGTCAAATTATAACATTACATAACTGGTTTTTTCGCAATCGTGTTGTATTTGCATTTGACGTACACTTTAATTATTATTAAATTACATTTTTTTTTAATCTGATAACTAAAGTCCTGTAGATAAGCAACATTTTCTCTGATGAGTATTTATAAAATGAGTAAGTGGTAATAAGTAAAACTAACTAGTAGTAAGTAATAATGAATAAGTAGCAAACAAACCTTTGCCTTTTTCACCGTTTTTTCCTATAAATACGGTATGGATCATACAAGCCAGTAATTTAAAAAAGTATTTTTTCAAATAAGTGGGAGTCAATTTTACCAATTCCAGCAATATGTTCCGAATGCTTGGTGAAAATGATGTTATACCTCTATGTACATGGTTATTCTAAAAACTTAACTTCACACTTTAGGACTTTAGTCGTACACTAGACTGGCTTTTGCTTTATTTTACCATATACCAAAGACGGTAAGGCTAATCAGATCCAGATTCATCAACAACTTCCATACGGGCTCGCAGGGTAGCAAGTATAAAACTAAGCGTGAGCCTTCTTGACTATACACTGGGTAAAATTTTTAAATACGCATTATTCACTTATGTCTCTGTCCAGTGGCTAACTGAAAATCAATCCCAATTAAACATATTTCGACCTATTCGATCTTTGGCCTATTTTCGAGACTTGAACAGTTTTTCTGAGTCAAAGATTTTGAGTCTGACAATGATTATCTCAAAATTTAATCCCTTTTAATAACATTGCATAGTTCAACAGTCTCTGCCAAACCCCTGTCTAGGATGATACCCATTTCCACAAGAATCGCAAAAGTGTATGAAAATAATCGTATTAGCATTACAAGTACAAAACCGAGTCTTTTTCTAAGAGTAATTTGCCAATAAATAAAGTAATCCATAAGCAGCAAACAGCGACTAGCAGGGATCCAACAACGAAGTCAATACCGGCGGAATTGATGAGTACGGCGGCTTCATCCGCCTCCTGGATTTTAAGGCTTCTACTGTCTTAATGAGCCAAGGTAATCCTAACGCAAACAGTATTGCCAAGGAGTTGGCACCAAGCGCGTTTGATACACGATTCCACCTTCGCCTGAACAAAATCATTCATTAACAACTACCGGAATTCAATAATAATTATCAATCAGTTGATAAGGTAATGAGGTAGTTAATGTATCATATTGCTAAAGACTATTAATAACACGTAAATCACAGCTTATTTAAAGTTTGTAAAAAAATATACAATCGCTTCTATAAGTTAAAAACATTCGCTAAAACTTAATAAGTTTTAGAAAGATTGTAATACAAGCAATATTAGGTGTTGTGTATCTTGTATATTATTTATGACTGTGTGCTCAGAAGGTATTGTTCATGTGTCCTATCATGTTGTGTTCATGTGTACTTATATAATATATATGAATGAAGTATAAATGCGTCGTGCAAGGCGTATGACCACACAATGTTAAAAAACAGTTTAAGTCATTACATACACACAGTACATTTTCAAGTCTCAATTGCAATTATTTGATCTGTATTTAACGAAATGTGAATATATTATTGTGTTGAGTAAATTGCTTTAGAAAATTTAGGAAGGTATAGGAATATTGTCAAAATAGTGGTTGATTTATTTACTGTTTATAAGGTTGTGTTTTGCTTTTGTTAAATTAATTTATATAAAAAACTATGCACTGTGCGTGACTACTGTACATACGTCATACATTCACGTGATTCAAACCCATTCGTTTCTTTCAACAGATTTATCAATTACGATTATCTATCCTAACTGCTATTAATTGGATTGGTGATAAAATATCGAAATTTAATCGCAATACACAGGTCACGAGCCACATGACAGAAAATGTTGCGAATGCAAAGCCAAAAATATAAAATAGAATAACACTAAAATTCTTTTAAAATCCTTCCGCCAAATAATTCATAATTCGCAGGCAGCCCCTATAAAACAGCAGGATATTAAAACATAAGTCAACAGAGACTTAAAAGTTAATACCTCACAATAATTTAAATTTTAGTAGTTCTTATTTCTACATACCTCGCCTAGACATGATGAAACAGAGCAGGCTTCTGGAAGACATCCACCAAAAGCCAAAAATGTCATACCCATGACAGATTCCGGAATGAATAAAGTGTGTCCTAAAAAAGAAAAACTATATTATAAGTCTGAATTACGGTAAATAAGTGACCCTTTAATTATTGGCGCTTCAAGTCTGCTTCTGAATTGTCATGTAATTACATTTTAAATAGATCCTTACTAGCTAGAACAATATCTACATGCTAGGATCACCTGCTTCAAAACCCATTTTATCTTTCTAGCTAAAAACATCAGACTATCTACTGAAAGGATCTAATCCCTAGCACGTTCCCAGACCTCTTAAGACTTAGAACAGAATACAGTACGAAGTTTCAGCACTGGCAGCAGAAATAACAACTTCTATAACAAATACGACGTTTTCTTCGTGTCCTATTTCTCTTTCTTAAATTTAAATTACCTTATGCTTTTCAGAAAAGTTATCATAATCAATCTTAAAGAGTTGTTTTACAAATGTTAATAAACATTTTTAGACTAATCTCAAGAATTTAAAATATTACAAACGTATACATTCTACCATTTAATAAAAAATTATGTACCAATGACGGTCATGCTCCATGTTACACAGTAAGAATTTGCTCCAATCCAAACGATGCACATCACAAAGGCCAAAGGATAGAATCTCCTGCAAGTTACAGGCGAAGGAATAGTCATTCCCAATATCAGCTTCAAAGGCCAAGTGTAAACCCCACCATATTCTATATGACAATGATTTCTCACTGGGATACCTGAACAGACTCTTTTTAGGTTTTTCTGGTGCATCTGTAAAGCGTGGATTATTTTCAAAGGTTATTTTTGTTTACACTAACAATACATGTGTTGCTTGAACAAACTAATTTCATCAACGCACCGCTATTCACTGGTACAACTTTTTCAGAATTAGAAGCATCTACTGCATCAGTGAATCCTTTATTATCGACACCCTCCTCGTTTGAATTTAAATCAACTTCCTTGGCATCTGTAACTAAAATTAAACTAGTGTGATATATTTAACTAGGACTATCGCATTTACAATCAATAGAATCAAGATATATAATAGAAGAAGATCAATAGAAAACTCACTTGTTACTGTATTCCTCAAGCTAATTTTTTCCATGCATCTATCAAATAGTGCAAACAATCTTACACTATTGAACATCAAAACAAAGTATAATACATAAAGAATTCCCAAGACGAGTGCTTCATACCAATCTATTTGACCGTCCCATACCAAAATTACAAGAACCCCCACATTAAACATGTAGATAATTACATCTCTGGTTACAGCACGACTGTCTATTTTTATTGGCTGAATAAAGTATAACTCATTAATAAAAACCAAAAAAAAAACATATATTTCACATTAAGACAGATAAAGTACCCTGATGGCAGCTAAACCTCCAATAGCAGCAACTCCAAGAGCATTGAAAATAGCTGAACCGACAATAGTTCCAATACCCATGTCTGACCCTGTGTAGAAAAGTTGAAATAACGTTGACGAAAAAACTCAGGACATGAAGTAGCGACAGCCATGAAAGTAGCAGCGGCACCGTCCTGAAAGATAAACAGAGTTAAATGTACTATTTTGCTCTTCTTTTGCTTCTAAACAATAGCTTTGACACTCGGGGACAATTTGATCTTCGTTCACACAAATATGTCATTTTAAATATAGTGCATGCATTTAATTATGCAAAAAGATAAAGGAAACAATTGGCAAGAAGCTGTGATCCTGAGATCTTTATAATATTTTATAAGGTTTATGAAGTCTGCCAATATGGCAATAAAAAGCCTTGAAATGGTGTCCACTCCAGTACGCAATTTAGTATAGTGACTCATTGTTTTGGTTCCATAATTTCAGAAATTAATGTAAATCATACTCTTCAGATGTTTTCATTACGCAAACAAGCATGTCTTTCAGGGACTTCGCTGGGTATTTTATAAAACTGAAGTCATGCATTTTCAGTTTTATAAAATACGCGTAATAAATGTCGCGGTATTTATTCACTGACACACTGGCCTCTAAATTTGACTGCTCAATGTGTATAATATAACTAAAGATATACACTAGTGTGTGGGAGTTACACTAGGGTTTATAATGACAAATACACAGAGCAAGCATACACATACGACGTAATAAGCAAATTAGAAGTGTCATAAACAAAATATGTGAAAATGCCACAAACGCAACGTTAAATATCGTGAAAATGTATAATTTGAACTCAAACAATTTATGGACAAGTGCATTCTAACATTGCTAATTTTTATCGTATTAGGTGTATGGCCTTAGTTTTTTTTCTGCCATCTTCTAACTTCTGTCCTTAGTAGACATTTTAGTTAATGAACATTATACATAATTAAATTGTTTCTAAATAGTTAATTAGGACAAAAATAAATACCTGAGGAATTTTCAAATCTTCACAAATAAATTCCACGCAAGGAAGAAAATAGTCGTTACATACAATAGTCAGGAGTGGTAAACGCATATATACCGAATAAAAGGTACATCAAAAACGCTCCTTGCCTTAAACGATAATCTGCAAGCATAAATGTGTTGTTAAAGTTAATAAAAAAATAATGGAACTAAAACAGTAAAGTAATCATATAACATTTATACTTTGGTTCCTGTATATTATAACAAAATCTATAAAATATATAAACAAAATCTTGTAAATCGAATTAATTGTTTTTACCCTTGAATTTAATTGTATAATTGATAAACCCTTACCGTCGAACAATCCGTCGGGGAAACTCTCTATAGAGTCTCTAACTAGACACTCAAGTTCTTGAAGTACGCCGTCTACAACCTCGACTCTTGTTCGGAGCCATGGTTTCCAGTGCCAAGTATCTTGTTCTTCATCTATCTTCTTTAGAAGATTATCACGCGTTAACACGACTTTACCATTTCTCATAATAGGAGTCAGTTCCTGAGTTTCATCTGAAGCAAAAAAAAACATTTACAAAAATGATTTCATGATCACATATTTTAAATTAAAGATGACCATTTAATAAAGATATTGTCTACCACAATATAATGATTATAAAACCACAAAATGTGATCCATAATCTAAGAATAGCACCTACCGTGACATGGATTGGTTTGCAGTTCTGTGTGTGAATCACAAAGGAACAACTACTTAAGCTGCTAGTGTGGATTCCAGTGGATATTTCCAATCCTTAACCGCTCGGTTTTTGCCTACTGCTGTACACGCTTGAAAATACCGTAAAATATACTTACTAAATTCGTCAACCGCCGCTGTACGAGAGCAGCACATTATAAGTAACATCGTTCTATAATGACACATTGTCCCACAGGTGACATAGTTAGGAAGCTGAAAACAAATAACACTCTCAGGGCCCATAATATAAAATACATTTAAAAGGACTATTACATCATTTGATTTTTGCTTTTTTTTAAATTACATTAAGTATTCGGATAAAAATTACTGAAAAAAAATTATATCGAAATTGCAAAGTAAAATAATCATTAGATCACAAGTTCGTAAATGTACAATTACACATTAATGTGTTTTTATGATATAAATTAAACAAATAATTATTTTTAAACTTAAATACCAACCTGAAGCCATAAAAGCATTATGTCGATCTACAAATATTATTTAGAACACGTAGCTTACTTTAAGGAACGCAAAATATAGCAACTTTATGAAATGTATTTCCCCAATGAGTGAAAAATGTATTATCTACTCTTCTCAAATAAAAACACATCCACTTATAGCACTTGCTTTGTACAGTTTTACACAGCTGTTATATACACGACTTATCGAGTCGATAACCTATTTACTGTAGTGTTTTTATCTTAGGCGCTAATCGAGAATTGCTTCACAATCTACAAAGATAGAATAAACTGACACAAATTACCTTTGATTTTGTGATCGCTTTAGTGACTGACTTTAAGGCCGCTTGAATTGGCTAAATGACATTAAAATTTACAAAACATAACTACTAATAATTTAGTTTTTAATCGCGATAGCTGCCACTCTGCAATGTTCAAGGAGCTCACTGAAAGAAAGATATCAATGCCAGGGGTTTTTAAGCAGATTATCTTATTTGATAAGAGACTCCTTCGCACCGGATTAGTAGAATTTAATTATAATTGAGTATACGTCAGTGACTGACGAGAGTGGTTCGTTATTACCATTAAAATTCTGCGTCTACATCTGCGGAATCGTTCGGACTGAAATGAATTTCTTCGAAGTAATGTGGCCATCCGATTTGTGTATAGTATTGAAATAGTTAACTGAACGGACGTTATAAAATTATTTAGTGGGACAACTTGCAATTTTAACATTATACTTACTTTTTTAATGTATTTTGACTTGTACGTACGTAAAACGTACTTTTATTTAATTAAAAATCACAACTTTATCATTATCGCTGCACAATTTATATAAATAAGAATTTTTCCTTAATCTATGATAGTTACACAAATACAATTTCCAAAAAACATTTCAGCATATGCAAATAGTCTATAACTTTCTACTCACCTTGAAGGATCCAATCAGTATTAAATTGAAACTAGAACATTTTTATGATACAGGATTTTTATAGCCTACGATCATTTCTAAGATAAGTATTTTGCGTTAAGATTTTTCATTTCACAAGGTGACCATTGTTCCTACAAGTAACTACCGGTAGTCGAACTAATCTAAAGAAATTTAGACACTGTAATTTCGTGAAATAAGGCAAGGTTAATTGTGACAATTGAAGAATTTAATTGAAGTCACATTATGAGATGTTGGTACGTAGCGTATGAAATACAATTTAATAGACACGGATATTAACAACTAAATGGCGTAACGGACTTAAATAGAAAATTAGAATATATTTCTGGTACAAAGTGATTAAAGTGTTAAGAATTAAGGGAGGTCACGAAGGGTTTCACCTAATATTTAAAAGTAACAAACGTTTTGAGATACAAGTATAATCCGTTTTACAATTGTACCTATTACTTTGTAGAGAGCTAATTTAGAACAAAGAACTTGACAGTGATACAAGAAATTCTAAGTATCGCGATAAAGCAAGATTAATTGACATTTAACGGGTATTCTTTCTGCTTACACGTCAGTCCTTTATCATGTACTTGCAAAATCATGCTAACTAGTTAACAACAATTTTTAACAATGCTCTTTAATGCCCTTAGATAAGGTGCCTCCGGTAACCTCACTTGCTTCAGTGCAATGCAACGTAAAAATAATAAAGAGGACAATGCTCGAAGTTCCCTGCGGCGATCGAATCAGGAATGAGGAGATCCGCAGATAAACTAAGGTCACTGACATTGCCCGGAGAATTGCCAAACTTAAGTGGCTGTGGGGGCCAAAGAGTTCTCGAGTAGAGACCGCGTACTGGAAGACGGAGCGTGAGTTGGCTCCCCGAAAGGTAGTCCAACAACCTGGTGAGGGTCGCTTGAAACTGTTATATACGGACGGCACAGGACCGGTTTTTGTGGGGAACCTTAGGGGGAGGAGGAGTCTTCCCCTGGATGGAGATCCAACAGCGGACGTCTTCCAGTGAAGATGATGATGATGAGACCATAAAAAAACACATTAATTAGGTAATTGAAAAAAACTCTGAAACAAATAAATAGGATTGCTATAATGTACAATACTTCCTCAAATGACTGCAAAAGTTAGTGTCGTCCAACAAGATTCTATAATGATCTAAGTGTTACTTCATGTAAACTAAATCCCATCTAATTATTCTAACTCTTTATTTATTAAACCAATGGCTTATTATGTGTTTGAAATTATGTTAAATATGTCTTGATAACAAAAAATAGTATAGATATCGCTAGCAAATTTGTGGAAGATGTGGTTGGTAGCCAGATATCTACCGTTGGGGAGAACCATGCTGCGGCATACATGGGCCGGCTCAAACTGAGTGATACCAAAGTCTCATAGAATCCGGGTGTTAAGTAGGGATGCCATGCTGGCGGGTGAGGAGGGCTGGGGCGCAATGGTCTCTTTCTGTGAAGCTGTAATGCTCCCGAAAGAGACCGCTGAACGGGATCGGGAGAGGGCCGATCCCGAGCGAAGAAGACGTCGACGACGTAATGAGCAGCCGACGGGACCGCGGGCCGCCAGAGAGTGGGGACCTCTGGTGGCAGATTAATTGCTGCGGTAGGGGAAAGGATGGCAGCCTGATCGCACTGAAAATGTGATCGGGCTGCAACATCTGGATAGGCTGAGAGGCAGGGAGAAGCCACTGGCTTTCCCTGAGAAGGGACCTAGCTAGGTGCGGCGTCGATCTGGGGGACCTGAAATCACATGGCCCGGGTTCTCCCCAGAGCAGGGCGCCTAAGGCTGGCCGTCGGAGTGGTTTTTAGTGGAATCACCACATACTCCTGGCTCCTATATCCCCAAGGAGCCGGAGATCCGAAGGGATTTTCCACTCCGTCAACAAAAAAAAAAAAAAAAAACAAAAGTAGGGATGGAATAAAATCACAATCACATATGATAAATCATATTATTTAGAAATCGTATCATAACACCTGTGACTAATTTACAAAACCGCTGCAAATTAATTATTATTATTATTCTAGCGCTAGACTTGCGAAGGATCTAAATCTAAAAAAAAAAACGATAAAACGAATTTTGATTGACTTTAATGCCATTTATCTTTGTCTATGACAAAATAACAATCACTGTGACTAACACCAATCATTTCATTTAATGAATATGATTTAAGAGGACGCGATACTTTCCATGTTTAGTGTTAAGCAATACTTTCGTTATATTTTACTGATGGTGTAAGGTTACCGAAGTCCTCAAGTTGTGCCTAACAGGCATCTACAGGACGAACGAATGGTAACATTCTTGGTCGGCATACTACAACTTATCACTTATTGATTAACTCGAATATGATAAAACAAAATTCATAGGTGCTATAGAGAGTTATGTAATCAGTGACTGACCTTAATCAAGTCACATGATTAAAGCGCAAATTGGCTGTAATAAAAACGTGCATTGTGAATATAATCAAAATATTAACGATCTCTATATTTATGTCTTTATTAAAAGTCGTCAATCGCTTTATGACCGATTTAAAGGAATAAAAAACTGCCATGAACCAGTGGATAAAGCTACAGTAGATAAGATTTGTGCAACATTCGCACCTTTTGCAAAAATAACTTCATATCAGTTTTCAAGGTAAAAGGTACCGTTACAATATTTATTTAACAGGTTCATAAACATAAAGTTGAAAAAATCCGCGTTTTGATGGGTCAGTGATTAAAAAAAACAATCTATTATATAAAAGAAGAAACTGACAGACACATAGGTAAGATTGCAAAGTTAAGTAATCCTAGCCTGATCAGTCTAAGGATGGGCGACCATTCTTAACACATTAAGACTTGCTAGCTTGCTCGGAGAGCACTTTAAGCCGTCGGCCGTCGAACACTGGTTGCCATACGAACATCTGTGGCAATCGTTACGGGTAGTTGGAGCTTCAAAAAGATCGACAACAGATTGTGTACAGTACTTCGATACCGCCTAGTACCTAGATTGTGGAGATCTGGCAGTCACCTCACGTAAAAAATTGAAATTCAGCCGTGTCGATATAGACGGACAGACAACATCTACCTAGTTTGGGTAAGACTTGGAGAAAGAAAAGAAGAAACAAGCAATATTATTCAGAAAAAATAAAAAAAAGGCTCAATTCCTACTTTGTTTTTATTTTTTGCATTAGGAACTTATATCCTGTGTCGTGGGGGACTTAACGAACATACATGAAATATACACGAAGAACACACAGACTCAGAACAAACAGGATCGAACCCACAAAACTCAGCTCAGTAGAAAGCGGCGTGGCGACCGCTTAAACCACTACGCCATCCGTGCTGTCAAACCTATTTCAATTTCCTCTTGCCCTAATTACAGCTTCGATTCCATTGACAAATAAATTCATCTATATCTTTAATAATGGTCGAGATTCCAGATACTTGCTGGTGTGAACTACAAAACTTCCATGCGATGCTGTGCAGTTACTTTTAGACCACTTTCAGATCTGTGTGCGGCAATTTTCTTCTGCTTATCTTTCTTGTGCGAACCGTTCGGAGCTGCTGTAGTGCCTCTATAAAGCAATTATCTTTCCGATATGCAGCGTCGTCATCCTGAATACAAATATGGTTGGTTGGTTATAAAATAAACACAAAGGTACCAAACATATTATATACATACATATTTGTAAAACTTATAGTTGACAGCCTGATTTAATCTGGCTACTAAAACTAATTAGTTCTGCCGCGAACTTGGCTCTTAAATATATTAAGACTGGTGTTAAGCATGTCATTTTTTTTACCGAACTTATTATAAAGTCTAGTCAGTCTGGGTATGGGAGAGTAAAAGCCGAGGACCGTTTTACGTGATGGTGGGTACAGTAGATTGACAGGATTTCGGGGACACTTACGGAGGGACATTAAAATTTATTTTAGATAATAATTGGGGGCAATCAATATAATTATTTACTAGTTTATATAAAAAAATTAGGTCGAGTGATTCTCGTCGTGTATCAAGCGATATTATATTAAAAGTTTGTAGTCGTAGCCTAACTTCGCGTCCTTTTTGAGATACCAGCGGAATAAGCTAGATGATGCAAGAACTTTTTTGAATGCGTTCTATTCTAAGACTATGCGTAGCATAGTGCGGCCGCCAAACGACAGAACAGTATTCGAGAACGCTTCGAACAAAACAGTTGTACAATAATGTTTTTGGTTTTTGGGCTGTGGAAGGGTTTGGCATTGCGAATTACAAAGCCAAGCGCTTTTGAAGCCTTCTTGATAGCTGTATCAATATGAGGTATAAAAGTCAGTTTTTTGTCAAGAATAACGCCCAAATCTTTTATACTCTCACTTCTGTTCAAACAATAACCATTCATACGATAAGCTTTATTTATACATTGCAGTTTTATGGTAAAAGTAATTTGGCTGCATTTATTGATGTTCAGTTTCATCTTGTTTCTGGTACACCAATCTAAAAGATTGTTTTTATGTCTTCCTGGAGCAACATTGCGTCTAAATCCAATTCTATTACTTTGACCATTTTTAGGTCATCTGCGAATAAGAATGGTATTGAATTTTTCAAAGTATTAAGAAAGCCATTTGAGAAAAGATCCTGCAAAGCCATATGCAGCTAACTTCCCAATTAATATGTCATGAGTTACCTTATCAAACGCCTTGCAAATGTCAGTGTAGATAGCGTCGATTTGTTTGTT